GGGGGAAAAAAAATAATAATACTCCATTTGTCCACCGTGACCAGGCTTTAAATAAGCATCAAAACTTCCAGCAGCTGTGCAGAGCTGTGGAACAGCACAGGTCAGAGATGCTCTGGGAGCGAGGAGAGGAGAACCTGCAGAGATGGAGCTGGAAATAGCCTCTGCTTGGCAGATCCAGAGGATACTCCATAATCATTTTAGGGTCTTGGAATGCTTCACAGAGTATTCCCCTCTGAGTGCTGGGTGACCTGGAGGAGTTTAGGGACAAACAGGAGCCCCTCAATGGTTCCAAGTCCCTCTGGATGGCCATGGAAACAGGAGGTGAAGGAAGGGAGGGCTGGGGAAACAGCCAAAGGAGCTCCCCAAAGCATTTCCCTGCTCATTACTGCTGCACTTCTCAGCATGGGAACTTGCAATAATAAAGACTTTAAAGGCTTCTTCAAAGAGCTTCCAGGCTGTATCCAAAGCTCCATCTGGAAGAAGTCTCATGAGACTTTGGAATGTTTTGTAAATACAGGCAGGGGACAAATGAGGTTTTTCTTAAACTGAGTCTGGCTAAAGTTGCTTTCTAACAAGAGCTTGCAACAGGCCACATGAGCAGGAGTGTTTCCCAAAGTGCATCCCTGGTGGAATGTCTTTTGGAAAGGGTGCAGTTAATTTGTCATCCCTACAAAGTCTTTTACTACCACAGTAAATTATAGGCCTTTTGGGAATGTGCTGTACTTGGTTCTTTTCAGGTCATGTTCTTGGTCTTGGATTGCTGGGTGAAACCAAATATGCTGCTTTATCCTGTTTGCCTGTGGATTTGTTTTGTGTTTCAGCAGATTGAATAGCATTTCTATTTAAATCATTCCTCATTCTAACTAAAACAATTGCTGTTCTGTGGTGTCAGGGGATTCCTGAGGTAACAGGAACACTGTACATTTTGTGATTTACTGCCCGCTTTGCCTCTTGAAAGCCCCAGTTCGTTTTGGTCCATTTTCCCTGCTTTGTTTGGGTTAGTGATGCCTCATCAGCTCCCCCAGACCATGACAGGCTTGGGGATTTTCAGCCCTGGTGGCCCTCGCTGTGGAAGTTAGGCAAGGGCTGCAGCATCATTTTCCCATCCGCAGTGCTAATGCTCAGAACTGTGAGTTTTAAGAACTTGAGGTCTCTCTTTGCTGGTTTCCCCCTCTCCTGCAGCTGTTGATGACACTGTGAGTTACCCAGAGCTGTTGTTTGCCTGTGTGTTCCACTTAGCACTTTTGACAGTGTATGAGAAAAGAGTGAGAAAAACCTCAGAAAGCTATCAGAAGTCTGAAAGTATAAATCTCCTATAGATTGAAAATATCTCCCACTCTCATCTTGGTATTTTTCCCTTCAGTTGGACTCTTAGCAAGAAATTCCAGAATACTTCACAAACACAGATTTAGGCCTTCTACAGCCTTCCTCCTCCTCCTCCTCCTCCTCCTCCTCTCCCTGAGGAAATGACATTCTCATTCCTTGTTTGCAGATGAGGAATGAAGGTCTGAGTGGTGAAGTGACTCGTCCAAGGTCAGCTGCTGAGTTAGTGGCACAGCTATGAATAGACAAAGGCATTTTAGCTCTCAGCTCTCTGCTGAACAAGACTGTGCCCTCCCAGTTTCAATTTGTCAGACTTCATGACTAATAACATTTGAGCATCTAGAACGTGGCAGAAGAATTTCTTTTCAGAGCCAGCAGGTAATCCCTGGTTACACCAGCAGCAGGGTGGGAGCTCCTCCTGTCCCCAGGGATCCTGGTGACACTTTTTGGGTTTTCTGAAAAGGGAGAACTTTCCCCCTTGGATGCTGTTTGTGGCATGCTGTATCTGCTCACCTGAGTGCCCACTTTGGTGCTGAAAACAGAGATCCCAGAGCTGACTCTTCATTTGTCTTGGTGCAGCAGTAATGAAGTGTCCTCAGAGCAGTTTGCCTTCAACAGCTATTTTAAACCTCCAGTGCAATCTGCTGTTCCTTGAAGGGAAAAAGTAATTCAACTAAAAGTGCTCTGAGGAGCCAAGTGAGAGAAGTAAATGTTGAGTGGTGCTAATCAGGAAGAGGAAGTCATCTGTCTGCGTGTGGGCACCTCCCTGCTCACATGGCACAGCCTGCAGCAGCCACATAAGAAGCTTTGTGATCAACAAATGTCAAGGGCAATTAATTCTTCGGCCAGCAGCTGTTATTATTAGGACAAAGAGTGGCCAGACATAGAAGGAAAGCCTTCAGCTGATTTATTTTCTCTACCTTTCCCCTCAAAATTGATCAGTTGCTCAAAGCCCAGTGGTGAACCCCCTTGCAATAAGAATTTCAAATTTGCCGTCTCTTTTATTTTTAGTAGGAGAGTTTATGTTAGATTCAGAGCAGAGAGGAACAGCTCAGGGAAGGTGTTTAGAAAGTCCTCCCCACTTTAATGCTAGCAGGATGGAGAGGAGTTGTGTGTTAAGCTGCTAATATAATAATAAAACCACCTCAGACTGGTTCCCTCAAACTTAATTCATGGAAGCAAAGCACTTTTAGGCTTGACTTAATACCTTCCCAAAGTTATTCCAGGATTGCTACAATGCAACTGTGGGTGTTCTAAACACACCTACGCTGCCAGAGCATCAGGAAGGATGTACTTAAAATCCTTTAATTTATCTAATAACATCTTTAGCAGCTTTTTGTGTAGGTTTAGCATTGTAATGGAAATGCACTCTTTGGCTGGATATAGAGCTGCTGTGTGGAAATGGAACACGTGTACAGCACTTGGAGCTGGGGGGAAACACTCTGACCTGCTACACGCCCTGGAAATGCACCTTTCTCTTGTGTCATTGGTCACTGCAGTTAAAATAATACCTAAAATTTCAGGTATGTTCATGGCTCTGGGTATCCACAGACATTGCTGTGCTCCCTCCCAGACCCAGGCAGAACAGAAATTCCTCCTCTCTGGGCTATTTTTTCTTTGCTGTTTAGGTCCTGAGTCTATTTTAGCCACTGCTGTTGCCCCAGTTCTTAACCAGGTTCCCTCTTTGCCCATCAGGGGATGTTCCTGAGGGTTCTTTACAAGTGACACAAAACAAGTTTGGTTTTAATAAAGAGTTCCAGCACTGAGCTGGTCAGGACTTGGACTGGAAGGAAGCTCAGATTCCTGCGGGTGCCCTGCTGGTAACTGCTGGAATAATTCTTCCATCCCGGGCACTGCAATCTCTCTCTTTTTGGGGAATCTCATGTAACACGAGCAGAACCAGCATCACTGCACGACAAACCTGCTCTTTGTGAGCCAAATAAAAACAGAAAAGACAAGACAGGAAAGCAGCTCCTCCACGTGCCAGCAGCAAGGGATGAGCCAGTGTTTTCCTCCGGATGGGAATGGGATCAGAGCCCTGAGCTGGGCTGGGCAGTGCCGGCCTTGAGGCAGCTGATCCCCCCCAGCAGCTCGGAATGCCTGCCTGGGAATTCCAGGGAAAACCCTGGGGTGGATGGGGCCCTGTCAGAAGCCAGGACATCCCTCTGGGTGCCATGGATGGCTTGTCCCCTGGCAGGGGCTTGGAGACCCTGGCAGGAAGCCAAAGACACTTGGGATTTCCAACTTAACCCTCGTAGCAAATTACCAACCTTGTATGAAGAATTACAAGTCACAAAAGTTTAAGCAGCATAACAGTAGTTGTCACAGGGTGAAAGGTGGAATTTTGAAGATTTTTACCATAGGGGTCTAGGAGGCAAGGTGGAAGGGACTTGGGCATTGTCCTGTCTTTCTTCCTTCTTCTTCCTAGCCTCCATCTTCTGGGTGATGGTGGCACATTTAGATTGGTCTAGAGTAGAAGTAGACAGTCTAACATAGGTGACAGGTATTGGAAAATAACTGTAAATAAAGCATACATAGTTTTTAGTATAAAGAGAGCCCCGCCTCAGGACAGGGCAGTGTGCCCTTGACAGACCTGCAGATCAGAACTCTGTGGGTCTGAGAGAAAATATTTTGGATAATGGATAACAAACAACCTAGTCAATACAAGCTGCAGAATTCTGACTCTTTCTTTGAAAGAACTCTCAGGTCATCAGAAAGCAGGAAACCTGAGAGGGCCCTAAAGAGGTGCAAGTGCTCCCTGTGTGACTTCCAGAGCTTCCTAATAGTGTCAGACAAAGCTATTTATTGTTCATCTTATCCTTTAATCATTTATTGATATGTTGAACAAAAGAAATAGGTTAAGGAAATGTTGGTATTCTTTGCCTGTTCCCTGGATTTCTGCCTTGGAATTCTGTTGATGGATGGTTTCTGGGCTGAAATTGGCTCTGTGTCTCTCTGTGGCCCTGTGACAGTGGAATGTCTTGGGAAAGACACCATCACCCCAATAAAATCTGTGGAAATTGGAAATTTCAGGCTGTGTCAGCAGGAGACACCTGGAGAAGTTGGGGCTGACCAATGGGAAATGAAAAGTTATACATAAATTAAGAGGTATTAAATTCCTCTTGAATGAGAGATTGTACATTAAAGTGGCCTTGGCTTGCTATAGATTAATTAACCTTGGGGGATACCAGGTTTAATTAAATACAGTGAGTTAAAGCCACTTCACTCTGGGTAGAAATCATTCCTGAGGGAACTTTTTTTACCTTATGCACATCAGCTACCTGTGGGTTAACCTTAACTTCCAGTGCCCCTTAGAGAGCCTTTGGACACTTTGAAATCCAAGGAATTCAGGAACCTGACTCCAAATCTTAGGAGAAACTGGACTTAACTTGAGTTAAAATTGTACCATATATATGTAAAAAATGTACAGTTGTGTGACACTCTGGAGGGTTCAAATCTAGATTTGAAAAGAATTTAAATAGAGGTTATGAACTGAAACATTAAAACTTAAGAAACAGGGAACAAAGGAGTGAAAGAGGGCGACCAAAACCCTTCAGTGAGTCTGGGGTCTTACTGCAGGGCTCAGGCAAAGAAAAACCTTGGTGAAAAACACACTCATGTTACCTTGCTGAATCACACTAAAACATCTTTTTGTGGTTTCTCTTTTTCCTTTCCAGTAATTGCCCTTCATTCCTGGCCTCTGCTTTAGCCAGAACAACTTCAGATGAAGTCCTGCAGAGCGACCTCTCGGCACATTTCCTGCCCAAGCGCGTGGACAACGCCGACGGCATCATCCGTAAGTGCCCCCTGAATTCCACCCCCTGGGTGGGGGTTCTGGAACAGGAACACCCCACAGGCATGGAAAAAGGTCCATGGGGAGCTCACCACCATCCTGCTAGAGCTGCAGGTCTAATTTCTCACTCAAACCTTTGGAATCACTCTTTTCAGTGCATTTTCATGGCTGTGTCTGATGGCCCTGCATCTCAGCATTTATACAATGTGGTTCTGCTGGCAAGTGCCAGTTGTCCTCCCTCATCCTTGGAGCAAAGTCAAATATATGTGGGAAGAGATAATTTAATTCTGAATTATTTCCGTCAGTGTGGTTTTTACTATGGCTTGTAAGGTTTTTTTTTATGGTTTTAGCAAAAGGTAGTATAAAGAGATTTTGTGATTAAAAGGAAGAAAATTCCTTTTCCTCATTTATCTGTGTTGGCTGACAAGATTTTTGCAGCCTCCAGCTCAAGGTCATGCACCCTAACTCATTTCAGGAGTGTGATGGCCTAAATAACCTTGAAAATTGTCTGGGTTGTTCATTACAACAAAGACCAATGTTTCTCACATCTATTAACAGGAATTCTGCCATTTGATCTTGAAAATACAGTCCCTAAACCACTTTGTCCATTTTCTCCTTTTTTGATTAAAAAAAATTCCTGTAAATTATTCTGGGGATAAGGAGGATCTATAAATCTGGCTCTTCAAAAAGGAACATTTTGCTGTATTCCCCAGAGGCCCTTGGAAACCTGAGGAACAGAAAAACATGCTCTGGGTTCCCTTTCTGTAGGTATTGCTGCCTCCTCCTGCTGAGCAGGTAAATGGAATAGATTTGTCATTGTTCTGGCTGAGCAGCCTTCATTAATTTCAAATTGAGATCTCTGAAACTTGCATAAATATTTGACAGTCTCCAAGGAAATGTTGACTAAGCCTCCACACAGAATATCTACAGAATTTAACAAAAAAGGAAAAAAAGAAAGGAAAAAAAGCCACCACAAAACCCTCACACCTACAGAAATTGACATTTAAATATATCTAAGGCTGTAAGACACAGAGGCAAACACAGATTGAGATGGGAAGAGACTGGAGCAGGTACTAAGAACAGGGCTCCAGATGCAGTTTGTTGAGGTGAATTGTCATAATGAGGGTACTTGGAAATAAAATATCCCTTTGCTGATGCAGTGTGAGTGTTAAATTGTGAGGATTTAAGGGGAGAGGAAGAGAGGAAACATCCTCTGGCCTGTAGTAAAGCAAGAGCTTCATACAAACCCTGCAATAATCTAAATTCAAATAATCTAAGTGATCATTTTCCAAAGCAGGACATCAGCTCAAGTGTCATAGAATGACAGAATCACAGAAAGGTTTGGGACATTAAAGATCCAGTCCCACCCTGTCCCATGGGCAGGGACACCTTCCACCATCCCAGGTTGCTCCAATCTCCATCAGCCTGGCCTTGGGCACTGCCAGGGATCCAGGGACAGCCCCAGCTGATCTGGGCACCCTGTGCTCCATCAGGGCTTCATCAGCTACCAGGGCTGGTCTGGTCCAGCAAACCCAGACAAAAGTGGTGGCAGCAGCTCCAGCCTGGAGACCCTTCCAGGGGAGTCCCTTGAAAAGCCTGGGCTGGGTGCTCAGAGGAGATCTGCCCTCAGTGGTGCCACACAGGGAGATTTCAGTGCTTTGGAAGAAAGCAAAGGAAAGTGTGGCAGGTGGTGAAAATGGGATTTCTACATCTTGAAGTTTGATGCTCAGAGTTCACTGTGCCCTGGTGCTGTTTGAGCTGCTGCAGAATGTGAAACCAAGCTGAATTTCACTGCCTGGCTTTAATATTCAGTTCTATGTCAGGTTTTTTTATGAACCCAGAAAGATTTTTACTCTGTGTAATACAAGGAGACATTTACCTGATTTGCCTCAAGTTTGAATTTGCTGAAAGATAAAAAAAAAAGCTATTTCAAATTTCCTTAGTGGCACATTTCACTCTGAGAATTGCAACGTGACAAATCATGTCCTGTGCTTAGGAGTGGTGAAAGCAGTTCTTGGTGTGGAAAGAAATGAGAAACTCCATGACAGAAGAATGAAAATCTTAAAAGAAGAAAAACTGGTTGGAGGCCACAAATGTAGGATTGCAAGATTAGGGGTCTGTGTTTGGGGTGACCATGTATTTTGGATGTCTGAGTCACAGGCCATGACTCTTCTCTTCCAGCTGCATTGGGGAGGAGCAAGAGATTTTCCATGAGACCTGAATGATGTTGGATTTCTTTTTTGAAAGGTCAGATTAAGGACATTTAGGTTTGGGGTTTGTTTCTGGAGGAAGAGAATCACAAGTTTGGCTTTGTTCAAGGAAGCACCTGAGGAGGCTGGATAGCAGGACCATGTGACCTGCTGGTGGTATCAAATTTCCAGGAGATGTCACAAAGCAAATCATAATATCCATTACCCAGTTGTTCCAGGTTCTAGGAGATGGATCCTAGAGATCTCCAAAGAGATCTACAGCTCCTAGATTAGGGAAAACCTTGGTCTTGGTTCTGACCCCTTTTGTCACACTGGCCATGTTATCAACACAGCTCATAAAACATGGCACTAAAAGCAGGATCTGATTCCTGGTATCCTTTCTACCCTCCTTCTGCCCTGTCATCTTTGGGAACAACAATGCCTGGGCTGGATTTCCCACTCACTGTGGTGCAGCTCAGCATTACCTCCAACCTTGGGGATTTGGGAGCAGCAGGAGGGAAATGAAATTCTCCGTGACACAAGCGCAGTGACAGCTGAGTCAGCTCTGGCTCAGCGTGGCAGCATTAACAATTGATGAGTAATTTCCAGCTATGAGGGGGTGGTTTTTATTGTGGCATTTTATTATTCTCCTGTTTTGACCTCACGAGCAGTTCCTGATGATGCTGACACCACGCACGGTCCCCTGGGAAGGGCGGTGAGGATCTCAGCAGGGTCCCTGAGTTCACTGCCACCCTCCTGCAGAGGTGCCACAGGTGACTGCCACGTGCCCTCTTCCCTTCACCCCTGCCCAGTGGGGAGGAATGGGAGAGCAAAATCTGTGGGCTTTCCTCTGGAAAATAGAACTGGACACCTCAGGTTGGACATGTTCCCTCTTTAAATCCATTACCCAAAGAGATTTCAGGTGGCCCCAGTGAGAGCAGTACAGGTGGGGTGAGGAACCCCCCCACTCACACTGTGGCAGGGGTGGGATGACCCAGCTGTTTGATTTCCACCCCTTGGTTTTAAAGCTGTGTGATCAAGGAGCCAAGCTTCCTTCTGGTTGTTTATCCAGTGTATTTTCAGCTTAGTGCCTCTTGATTGGACCAACAGAGCTGGGACAGTATCTTCTTCCTAGGGTTCTTGGCCTCCTGGTCACTGTAGACCTAGGACAGAAATTTGTAAATGCAGCTTTTAGGCTCTTCACAGAATTCCTGTAAACTGAATTCCTGAAACGGAGAGATGCTGCAGCTCTCCCCTCTCCTCCCTGCACGTGAGCCCCTCCTCCTGCAGGAGTGATTGGCACTCCTGGATTGCTGCTGTTCAGCTTTGAAGATCCCTGGCTTTGGTGAGCCATCATGAACAAAGAGATTTGGATGTGTTCAGCTCTGATGCTGACTTCCTGTTTTCCTCTCCTGAATTTCAGAACAAATGTCAAGTACCTGAGTTTTCACATTTTAAAATGATAATTTCTCAGGAGTGCCAGTTCAGCATTTTCTTCAATTTGAGGCCTTTATGCTTTTCTCATTTGCTCATGCAGATTTCTCTGACAGACCGTTGTCAGGAATGTGGGAATAATAGGAAATCAGGAAATAGCTCAGAAGGCACCTGTGCACTGCTGAAGGAGCACAAAACGTCTTAAAATTACTCTGCTAATTTCTGCAGATTGTTTCCACTGTCTTTTCTCAGCTCTGCAATGAAATGGTGTTTAGAATAGTGAATTTGGTCCAAACCCAGTGTGTCATTGTCATGGAGGGTGGGACTGGTAGGTGGCACCCTGTGCCATGACACAGTCCCTGTCAGAGCTGCACCACCCTGGGCAGGGCCACGCCAGGGATCCAACACTTTCGTGCCTTTCATTTTCTCTGCTGCTGCAAATGAGTTCTCCAAAGGCACAGGGAAATGTTTAAGTTAAAAAGACAAACAAACAATGAGCTGCTTACTGATGAATGCTGATTATGGTGAGTTTGGCTTCTCCTTTTCATGCATCAGAGCCCAGAATTTCCCTGCTGACATCAACTGCTCGGCTAAAATGGTTTTGTTTCATCTTTCTAATGTATGCAAGGGAGAAAACTCTGACTTAATAACACTCTCAAGGCTTTCATTTGTGGTCTGTGCCTTCCTCAGAGATCGAGACGGTGAAGTTGGCCCGTTTAGTTTACAGCAAACTGCACGAGATCTGCAGCAACTGGGTGAAAGATTTCCCCCTGCAGCCCAAGCCCCACCGCTACTACGAGACCTCCATCCACGCCATCAAGAACATGCGCAGGAAGATGGAGGACAAGCACGTCTGCATCCCTGACTTCAACATGCTCTTCAACCTCGAGGTGAGCACACAGACACAGCTCCTGTGGGTCGTGGTTTCCATCCTGGGAAAGCAGGAGGGTTTTCCACGGAGGGAGTGGAGGGTGATGGACCTCAGGAGGGTTGGCAGTTGGTTGCCTCACTCACTGTTCATCTCTGAAGGCACTTGGCAGCTGGGGGTGGGTCTGCTCTGCTTTTCAAGCTTTCCTCTTGGGAGGAAAAGCAAAAATAAGGAAATTGAGTTAAAAAACACCAAACAAACCCAAAACTTACAGGACTATGGGGTGCAGCTCACACACGATTCTAGAAATGTGAGTAGTTTGGTGGAACTGGGGCCTGTCTTCCCTTCCATTAATTTCATGATGTGGCCATTGGTTGGACACTCATTCTTGCTCTCCCTTGAGGTATAAAACTGGACACTCAGGAATGGAAAGTAAAGGAAAATGGCAAGAATTTTACCTTAAGGATCAAATTGCTGCATAATTACTTCTTTATTACACCCTGTCACTTTAATAACCATCTTCTGCCCCATCCACATTCTTACCTTTAAAAGATATTAATGCAAACAGAGGCAGATGTTTCCTCTGCCTGTCAATTGTCAGCTTTCTTATTCCAATTTGTGTTGGAGCCCATTACCTAAAAATTACAATGTGCAAATATTCCAGTCACTGAGCTGGCTGTCAAGGTTGAATTGGCTCTGTCAGTGGGTTGGTGTTGTGTGTGTGAATAGGCACTGGAGTTGCTGTCTCCTGGTACCACGTTGTTTCTCTGAACAGAGGAGGGGAAGCTGAGAAAACTGCCTTGAAGATGAGTGATTTTGCTGTATTTGATTTGTGAATGTAATCACAATTTTCTGATGAGAGAGCACATGCAGTTTTTTTAAACACAGGCATCTAAGATGATGTTTTAGATTTAAGGAAAAAAGAAGAGTGAAAGCAGAGGCTGGTTGGCTTCACATTTTAACTGTGCTGGCATTTCATCCCTGGTGGATTCCAATCATGATGTAGACTTCATGCAAACTGTATTGGATGTTCTTCTCACTCTGTGGTTTTTGCAGTCACAAAATCTCCTGCACAATTTGATGAGAATGGCACTTCCTATTTGAGTTGTGTGACTGAGCTGTAACAAATGGGACCTAAGGAACACTGAGAGCACTACACATGGGATTCTGGCATCTCGTGCACTTTGCAGGTAGAATTCAACAGGAAGGTGGAAATTTCCCACTGATGCAAGTGCAGGTGGTCAGGGTAGTTTGCTTTTCCAGTGGAGGCTCTGTCTGTAATTGCAGTTTCATGAGGACAGCACAAATCCCAAGTTCAAAGCTTTAAGACAATCCAATGAGCTGTTTGTGCTGCTTTCACCTGAGTTTTTTCCTCCCTGTGTTTCCTCTGGCAGGACCAAGAAGAACAAGCTTATTTTGCAGTGTTTGATGGTCATGGAGGAGTGGATGCTGCCATCTATGCCTCCATCCACCTGCACGTGAACATGGTCCACCAGGAGATGTTCCAGCACGACCCAGCCGAGGCTCTGTGCCGAGCCTTCCGCGTCACCGACGAGCGCTTCGTGCAGAAGGCAGCCAGGGAGGTGAGGCACTGAGAGCATCACCCTGCAAATCCTGCCTTGCCAGAGAGGGGCTCCAGCCACAGCAGAATCAGTACAGAGCTCTCCATGCCCCACTGGTGGCTTTCTGTGCTTCACATCCCATAAAAATGTCAGCTCCACATCCCGTAAAAATGTCACGTCCTGCTTCTCAGAGCTTCCAGCTCCTCTGAAGGATGCTGCTGCCATTCCCACACTCACCTGCCTACCAGGCTCAGCCCTCAGGGGCACAACACACAGCTGTGTCTGTCAGCAGCAGGAGCAGGCCCAGCAGTGCCCAGCTCTTGGCAGGCAGGTCCCATGCCAGGGATGTCATGGAGCACATTTGTGTTCAGCCAGGTTGGCTCCAAGGGGCTGTAGTGAGCAGTCGTAGCTGTAGGGAAGCACTGCCTGTTCCTCCCTGGGAACAGGCTCTGTGCTGCAGTTTCAGCGTGTTCTGTCCCTGAGTTAAGGAAGAAAATGCTTTGAAATGGAAATGTATTTTTTTCCAGAGTCTGCGCTGTGGAACCACCGGGGTGGTGACTTTCATCCGAGGGAATATGCTGCATGTGGCTTGGCTGGGGGACTCCCAGGTCATGCTTGTGAGGAGAGGCCAAGCTGTGGAACTGATGAAACCCCACAAACCAGATCGAGAGGTGAGAAGGGCCTGTCTGAACACCCCTGGGCAGTGACCAGCACAGGTACCAGCTTTGGGGGAGCGCTGCCATGCCAGCATCTCTTTGAGCAGCAGAGCATGTTCCACTTATCCTGGTTTGTTTGGATCTGTGAGCAAATCCTTTGTCTCGTGGGGGCTGCCACGTTTGTGAAAATCCAGATGTTGATGGGAGTGTTGAGTGTGTGATGCAGCTCTGACTGCTCTGTCTTGTGCTGCTCTCTCTTGTGTTGCTGTTCAGGATGAGAAGAAGCGAATCGAGGCCCTGGGTGGCTGCGTGGTCTGGTTTGGAGCCTGGAGGGTGAACGGGAGCCTCTCTGTCTCCAGAGCTATTGGTAAGAGAGAGCCTTCATTCCTTTTTGAGACTTGCTTTGCTTTTTAACTATAAAATTTTAATTTTCTAGTCATCAAAATTTGACATACAGCTGAACATAGACCTATGAGCAATAACCTCTATTTTTCCCCCTACAGTCTGAGGGAATAATTTCCAAATAATTGCTTTAACTTGGGGTAAGAGTCATTGGCTCCACACTGAGTCAATAAGAGCTGCTGGAAGCTGTGGCTGCAAACCCACAGTTGTGTTTCTCTGCTGTTCTTCCACAGGAGATGCTGAGCACAAGCCATACATCTGTGGGGACGCAGACTCTGCCTCCACGGTGCTGGATGGCTCTGAAGACTACCTCATTCTGGCCTGTGATGGCTTCTATGACACAGTCAACCCCGATGAGGCAGTCAAAGTGGTGGCTGACCATCTGAAGGAGAATAATGGTGACAGCAGCATGGTAGCACATAAATTGGTGGCATCTGCTCGGGATGCCGGCTCCAGCGACAACATCACCGTCATTGTGGTGTTTCTCAGGGACATGAACGCGGCGGTCGCGGTCAGCGAGGAGTCGGACTGGACAGAGAACTCTTTCCAAGGTGGGCAAGAAGACAACGGGGAAGACAAGGAGAACCATGGAGACTGCAAACGGCCGTGGCCCCAGCACCAGTGCTCAGCACCCGCAGATTTAGGCTATGAAGGACGAGTGGACTCCTTCACCGACAGAACTAGCTTAAGCATAGGCTCCAGCGTTAACCCCTTGGATGATCAAGGCTATTTAGACCTGACAAAAACAGAAACTAGTACACCTCAGAGTGCCAAATGTCTGCCACCAGTCCAAGTGTTTAGTCCTGGCATACCAAAGAGCGCGGGTTCCATCAGCAGCTCCCCGGTGAAGAGCGAGGCCCCGGAGCCCAGCGCGTCCTGGGGCTGCGGGGGGAACCATCGCGGGGAGGACGCCCCTCTGAGCCCGGGGGCTGCAGGGCAGGGCATCTACAGGGTCAGGGGCTTAGCCCCCATCTCCTTCGGGCTGGAAGATGAACTGTTCAAATCCTTGGGAAAACGAGCTGCGGTCCCTCATTTCCGGCTCTGCAACGGGAAGAGGCGGCGAGGAGCCAGGCTCAAACCAAAGTTTCACACGCCGCTCTGGGCTCAGGAGCCTTCCCAGGGAGAAGGATCCGGCCTGCCCTTCCCTGCCCGGGGCCGCAGGAGCAGGAGGGCGTTGGCCCGACCCTCCCCGTGGCGGTGGCTGCCCAGCCACGGCTCTTACAGCGAGTGTTCGATGCGAAGACAAAGTCATTGTATACCAGACCCACACCTTCATCAATGCTGTAAAATGTAACCACTCCCTCGTGTTCCCCTGTCAGACTCCCAAAGTAGACATTCCCAAAATAAAACTGGCATCATCAGAAAGTGAAAAAAAAAAAAAAAAAAAACAAAACCGAAAAAAAAACAACAACAAAAAAAAAGAGGTGGGCATTTCCGAACTGTACTCCAGTCCCCTGCCAAGCTCCACCCCTGTGTAAATAGAACTAGGAATTAAGCAATGTAGTTGTTTGGATCTCTAACAAAGTTTGGTGGTGGTGCCACCCCCAGCAATGCCGCAGCCGCCCGACCACCCGCACACACGAGTGTCCAGCCACATCCAGCAGGGAGAGCCCAGCAGCCGCTGCACGAGGACAGACAGCGCCAGGGCACGGTCCTTAACCACGCAGAAGGTTGCACCTGCCTGAGAAATGTCTGTGGAGCAATACTCAAAGAACGATCTGGGTTAGAACTGCCAAATTTTTTTTTTTTAGAGCGGGGGGGGAAGTTTCTGTAGAGTCGAGGTGTGGGGGTTTTTTTGGGTTTTTGTTTTTCTTTTCGTGTTCTGCTTTCTGTTTATTCCAGGTGAGCGTTAAGATGAATTAGAAAATTACATCCACTTTTGCAGGTAGACGACTAAAAGCCATACAGGGTTTACCAGGTACCTTAGGAATGGACACACTAAGCTCCTGCTGCTCTGGTCTCACACTCCCATCGAGGTACAGACTCATAATTTACCTTTTTTTTTTTTTTTCCATGTAATATAAAATGCGGAGTATGAAGAAAACTTTTCTTGCAGTTTAAAAAAAATATATTTCCTGTGGCTGGAGGTGCAGTGTAGGGAATTTCGTATCTTTCTGGTGCTTTTAGTGGCATTTTTCTCATTTCTCAGTTTAGGAAATTGTTCTCATTGAGTTGAACATGACTGTGCTTAATGCTTTGAGCCAACCTCTTCCCACCTTAACTTCATCTCAGGTCTTAAAAGAACCCAACCCGTGGAGGGCTCCAGTCCCACCCTCCGTCCCCGTCCCCGCGGAGATCAGGAGCTGTTGGATGAGCTGTGTGGTTCTGGTGAGGATTCCCAGGTGGCAAAGGCAGCATTTCACAGCCAGTGGCAGCAGGAAGGACGCAGCACCGCGGCTGTGTGTTCAGGGTGCGCAGGGATGGATGATGCCGGAGCAGCCCAAAGGGGATGCAAATGCCGAGGATGCAGCAGAGCAGGGCTGGGCCTTCAGCAGAGAGGGAGGAGCTCAGTGCCCGGGCTGGGCTCTGCTCCGGCTCCCCGGGTCCGGGAGGGCCAGGGAGGAACTCAGCTGCCCTTCTTTGCATAAGCAGCGGCCCCCAGCCCCTCCCCGCTCCCGAGGTGAGGTCACACCCTCGGGGGAGCCGCTAATTGGGACGTAAATAAGCGGCCGATTCCCATCAGCTCCACTAAGTCCAGATCCCGTTCCTACCCTCTGTTACAGCGATGCACTGGGAGGAGTATGAACAAAATAAGTCTTCATAGGCACTTAGTGAACAATTCATATCATTTTAGCAGTAACAATAGCAGTATTAGTGTTTAGCTAGAATTTGCAAGTATTTTAATATTAAGTAATCAAGAAAATTATTCAACATGACAAGATGGCGAGGCTTGAATTCCGCCGATTTCCGCTGCTTCTCTCTTTGATGCACTATTTTAAAAGCAATCTGATGAACAGCAAAAGGCTTTGTGAGCAACCAGGAGTTGGAGTGTGGCTTTAGATTCCTTTGATCTTTTTCAGACTTTGTTTTAATCTTACGGGATCATTGGCTCTTATCTGCCATCTTATTCTGCCTTAGCTGTTGTCAACGTTCTCTTTAGCTGCAGCTTCTGTTCCAAGTCAGATTTACCGAGGAAATTTGAGAAACCATGAAATGGTAAAATATGCAACTCTGGGGCATCTCTGCGGTGCCTTTGTTTTAAATTATTCACAGTAATAATGACTCACTGAAAGTCCATCTTTAGCTGACTGTCGTGTTCTGGAGAGAAAGGTGGTGTAAGTGCAATTCTTGATGTGAGTAAATTAGAATGCAAACCCGTCCCGGATGATAAAACTTCTTCCCAGTCTGCAGGAGCAGTTGAAGAGCACTGGACTGCATGTGTGCTGTTTTGGGAAGGATCTAGCTTTTTTAGGTGTGGATTCATAAATGGTAATTCTGCGACTCATCCCATTTATCTTGCTAGGAGAAAAAAAAATAAATCCACCATCGTAGTTGCAGTGTGGTCAGGTAAAACCATTGTATAGATAGAGCAAGTGTTCATTTCTTCACTAACTGCATATTTATAGAGTAGATAGGAACCATTTGTAAGGTAAGTCCTTTAAAGTTCTATAATATTAAAAGTAGTGGTTATTGGTCTGATTATGCTGCTCTTGATTCTACACACTAGACAAAAAGCAGTGCTTGTGAAATGCAGTGTTTTCTCTTAATGCCACTGGTGATAGGAAGTAGTTCCTTCAGTTCAAACTCCTGTGCCCTTATCTGCTGCTTGCTGACGTAAGCAATAATCCCTCTCTAACGGTATCTAAGTGTTCTGTATCTCGTACCTTGATCGTCTATCTGGTGACAGTGTAAAATATTAGGCTAATAGAGAAGTATCTCATTGTATTTATTAACTGTTGATACTGAGATTTAGTCTGTGACCTGTGTTTTGTATTTTTATCGTGTATCTTAGTGGTGGTGAAAATTTGTACAACGAATCTTTCCAATAAAGAGCTGAAGTATCCCTCATCCGCGTTCACACAACCCCGCATCCCTCGCGGTGACCGTGGTTGCAGAACCAGGAGGTAGCAGTGACAACATGACTTTAGTTTTGTTCTGTTTCACTTGTGGTGGTTTTGAGGAAGGGGCTCGGGGCTGGTTTTGCCTGGAGCTGCTCAAAACTCGCTGGTAAGCTCTTGACTGTGAGCGCCGCGGGGCTTTTCCAACCCTGAGCAACGTGTGCGGTGCAGAGAGCAGAACAGCACCAGGGCAGGGAGCTCTTCACCCATTCCATTTGCACTAGAGGTGGGTGGAAACGCACGTGTGGAACTTTTCTTTACCTAGAAGTGCCATCCATTGTCCTTGCGAGTGAGAACCGTTCGTAGCCGAGCTGCGGCGCCGCGGCGCTGGAGGACAATGTCCAAGCAGACTTTAACTTACACCACGTTTCTGGTGGTGCATCATCCTAGAAACTCCGCCTGTTTTTGGAGCACTGTGTGTCAGTTGTCCCATGGGCAGATGAGGCACAAGGAGTTGTGTGCACAGACATGGCTGCTGTAGTTCAGGTCCGCTCTCTCCTCACCAAATCCTCCCGACCCCAAGATTCTGCGGGAATAAAGCAAAATGAGAAAGATTGGTCTAAATTAGGGCTGTTTTAGCACAATTTCTTCACTCGGCACTCAGTCACATAAACAAAGCCATCCAAGGGGATACTGCAGCTTTGTTCATGTCTGTAATTTAGGGCAATCTTTCTTTAATTCACATCCTCTTTGCGACAGGAACAAAACTTTCTCCCCTCGTATCATGTGCAATAATAAGGAAGCATTAACAGGACCTCGGAGCCCGATGTCCGTGCCCCTCTCCAGCCCTGGCACCCCAGCCATGGCACAGCCCTTGCCAGCATTAAAGACAAACAAGCCCCACCTGTCAGGGTCTCGTACAACCCTTGTCGTGTCCGGTCTTTCCTCTCCTTCCCTCTGAAGACACCTCGGGATGAGCACGGGGAGGTGGCTGAGCTCACCCCGAGTGCTGCTGCTCGTGGCCAGCCAGGCACGGTCTCAGCTCCTGGGTGCTCCTGCTGACCTTTCTGTAGTACCTTGTTCATGAGACATGTTCTTTATGAAGTGAATAAATTCAAGCTAAATCATGTACCGGTGTTGGGACTTTTCCATTTGCAATCTTGTTCTACAGTTCACCCGCCAGTTTAGTTCTAACCATGTATTAGTCATCCATATTTTATTTATGAAAGCTGTTTATACAGGAAAAACTGTTGAAGTTTTACCAATATCTTAATAAAACTAATTTAAACCACACTCCAGCTAGTCTGGTTATTGAAGAGCTAACAAAGGCAGCGAGCAGCTGTGCCTTTAGTGTGGTGAAAGGGGCTTTCCTTTGTGGGACGTGGAACTGGAGTTTCCCTGTTGAGCTCTGGCTCCCCCGTGGCTGCTCAGGGCCCATCTCTGTGGCCAGAAGGGATGGGGCTGCTATGGCACAGCCCAAGGATCAATGTCATCCAAGCCCCTTTCCCAACCAGCTCTGAATAAGCTGCCCATAAAAGGTGAGCAAAGCAGCAGCTCCTCTCTGACCCCTCCAGGAGCTGGAGGCAGCCCCAGGGCAGCTCCTGTGCCTCAGCCCAGCAGGGCTCCATGGTCCAGGGCCTGAGCTGTGTGCAGTGCCCAGCACAGCCCAAACTCCCAGGGCACCTCCAGGGTGAGGGCCTGGCCCTGGCCCAGCATCTGCTCCCTCTGCGGAAACAAAACAGCTTTGGGGAAAACTCTGCCTCCTTCTCGATTCCTGTTTGAATCAAGATTTCAGCATTTGGTCTGGCTTCTACAAATAGAATCCCAGAGGGATTTAAGTGCTTTTTACTGAATAATTAAGGAAAAAAGTGACAGGAAAAAGTCCCTCCACGCGCAGCCAGGTGCTGCAGCGAGTGGAGCTGACCCTGACAGCCTCCACCACTTTACTTATCCACACACAAAACAACTGAAATTCAGATTTCAACATTCATTTTATTAACAAAGTGCAAACAGTTTTAAACTAGGAGTTGTAGAGCACATTCACACGGACACAGGGCACAGGCAGCCACACGAGGACAACACCAGGCAGGTACTGACAGGGCTCATGCTTTGTCACTAACCAGGCATCAGCTCTCAGAGGAGCTTCACAAGGACTTCAGCAGCTCAAAATGCAACAACAAAGAGTTTGGCAATGGGTGTGGTTGGTCCACGTCACCAACTGGGGAAAACAACTGGAGTGGTGGCTGTTTTCCCCCAGCATTCCAAAGGCCAGTCACACACTCTGCTCATTCCAGTGGCACAGCAGGACACTCATCCCAGCCCGGGGCTCAGCACCTTCCCCACGACTCCTCAGAGCAGCTGAGGCTGGAGGAGCAGCAGTGCCAGCCCTCAGTGCCAGCCCTGCAGAGGTCCTTGTGCCCCGGGGCAGGGGAAGACAAGGGCAGAAGAACCCGAGTGGAGAGGGCACAGCCCCGGGCTCAGCTCCAGGGAACCACACTCCTCTCCCAGGGATGCAGCCGTGGGTCTTCAGGCCCCCAGCCCACGCTCTACCTGCTCCAAACAAAGGCAGTTTGCACTGAAAACTCTCCTGCTGGAGCAGTTTGAAGGCTTCAAACAAACAAAATCTAAGAGTTAAGATTTTATGCCAGCTGCTTCAACCCAGTCAGTTTTGGGAGCATTTAGAGCTCAGCCCTCCCTCCCTCCTTCCCAGACTGCCTCAGAGGCAGAGGGAGCTCAGGATCCTGGCACAGGCTGAGCAGTGGCTCCGTGGCTGCAGCTCCTGGAGCAGCACAGGGAAGGTGCAGCCCCAAGGAGAACCTTCCCACTCACCTGGTGCTGTCATCTGCAGGGACAAAGCTGAGATCCTCAGAACTGGCCTGATCCCCATCTGGTAACACCGAGGAGTGCCCTGAGGGTGAACACAGCAAAGCCCAGTCAGCTCCCAGGGAGCACTGCAGCAGCCAGGGAATGCTCCCTCCCCTCCCTTCACTCAGGCCAAAACTTCACCCCCCGGCCTCACAGCTTTGCTCCACTGGATGGAAGTGAAAGCTCAACCAGAGGAGACTCTGAAGCTCCAGTGAACTGCTGGAAACACATTCCTGCCAATTAAGATGCAAATCCATGTCTAAGGCAGTGGTTACCTCCCTGGAATTAGCCTACTTACAGTGCCAATCCTGGCTCACAGGGAGTTCCAGTTGGGAACTGGAGCTCTGGGTTTTCCAGCCCTCCCCAGGAGACTCACCTAAACTGACTTCTCAAGGCTAGCAAGAGTTTCCCTCTCCTGTTTTGAGCTGTTTTAATTGGGATCCCAAGAGGAGAGTTCCAAATCTTACTGGCACTCGGAGCTTTAACACCTCCCCAGCTCCCCCAGGGATCTGCATCCAAGGAGCTCTGGGAAGACTGGGAATGTTTGGGAAGAGGGGCTCCAGCAGCTCTACCTTCAGTGGAGGGCTGCACAGAGAAGGCCTGGTTGAACACCTCTGAGGGAGAGGTGGCATCTTCCTGCTCCTCGTTTTCCGTGTCACACTCGATGTCACTGTCACTGCTCATGCCTGGCAGGAGGTGAAGGACGTGCTTCTGACACAGCCCAGCTGCAAGAGAGACCAGAGACAGCCAGGGCACAACGATGGCAGCAGGATCTGCACAGCTGGAATGTCTGACTTTGTCCCATGGAAGAGTTCCTGCCAGCTCCTGGGATTTGGTATCAGAGCAGAGGGAAGGAGCATTTCCCAAGCACCCAGGGGTCTGATGGAGCACTGGGTACCAGCCCTCAACACAGCTGGATTTGTCCTGTGTCACCAGCTGAGCTGCTCAGTCTACTCTGCAGCTGGGACAGAAAATGAAAGTTGCTTTTCTGGGAGCTAAAAGGCAGCACAACCTGTGGGGCAGGTGGGCCTAGAGAGCCTTCAAGCAGCAATAGTGTGTTTGAGTCTCACACAAATTTCCCCTCCAAAGCAGAAGCAGAGCTCTGGTGACTCCTGGGTGTGCACTGGGCAGCCAGAACTCCCCATGGACAGCACAGGCTCTGCTTGCCTCTGCTTCTTAAAGGCTCATGCTCATTGCTAAGAAAAAGCAAAGTGAGGGGCCAATTTTACTGTAGTTTCTCCTCTGAAGTGAAAAAAAAATTGTAATATTTGCTTCCTGGGGTTTTTAACAATGAAGTATTTCAGTTTCTAAAGCGTTTTCCTATTGGGCTCCCTGCTCTGAGAGCAGAGCTGCAGGAGCACATCACGATCATGCTGCAGTGACTAAGAGCAGAAATTCAGTTTTGTCACTGAGAGACCTTCTGTAAATGCCAACTCCCACACAATATTGCACACTGCAGCTCGAGATGGATGCTGGCACCTTAATATAGGCTTTGTGCTACAATCCAGTCATTGAAATTCAAATTAGTGCAGGGGTGGAAGGCAGGAGAGTTTTAGCAAGATAAGAAAAACTCTATGTGGACTTTCAGAAGGGAAAAAAAAAAAAAAAACAGTGTTATTTTTTTTCCAGCATGGAAAGGATGCAGGAAGGGAGGGGGGAAACTTTCCTTCAAGTCTCTAAGGAAACTGGATTATGCACCACAACACCCAGCAGGAATGAAGTGCTGGAGAGGCTCTTGTGTGGCTGTGGAGAAAGTTACCACGGGGGGCTGTGCCTGGAGGCAGCAGAATTACCAGCCAAGGTCACTGGCTACTACAGAAATTAGATCTGAAACAGCTTCTCAAGGCCACTCCACTGAACAGCAAAGCCAAGACCTGGAGCTGTCTCGAGGTACAAAAAGCAGCTGCTTGTCCAGAGAGCCACGGCCACCCCTGGACAGCAGCCACACAGAGATCTTCTGTGCTCACTCAGATTTATTCTGCAGCTCACAGCAAAGCTCAGCAGCCATGGAAGCAGCTTTTTGGGGGGGTTTCCTCTCCTCCTTGCCCGCTCCAGAGGCGGAGCAGCAGCGCCCGGAGCGCGGCCACGCCGCACCTGCCCCCCTCAAAACCCAAATTACCTTCCTCTGCTGCTGCAGAGGCTCCTTCAGAGCCCATCCCCTGCAGCTCCCCGGGCTCAGAGCTGCTCTCCAGGCCACCAGGCTGGGCTCCTTCCGTCCGACATCCCTTGGAGTTTGAGCTTGGGAAAGAATTTAGGAGAAATGCAAAACCCCACGTTAGAAATTCAGCCTCAGTTGTGGGAACAAAGCCTTTAGAGCCACGTTGGGTTTTACCCCTTAAGTCATCTGCACACTCACTTAAGCTTCCAGCTTTTTTAAACATTTTAATATTTCTAAATCAATCAAAAAAAAACCTTGAAAAGTTTGAATATTTTCCAAAAAAAAGTGACTCTACTTATTTAGAAAAAAATAACTTAAAAACTCCATTGCCCTTTGCTTAGGGGGCCAACAGAGAATTATCATGAAACAGCTGAAAAATTGAGTTAGAGTGAAAAACATCATCTTAAATGTAGAAATCAGAAGTGATTAAATTTCAGTTAGAGGATATTTTGCATGGAAAAGTGGGAAAGCAAACCTGGGCTGCCTTTAAATTCCAAGAGTCAGACTCCAGCCAGAGCTGATCAAAACAAGAGAAAAATGAAAAAAAAAAAGAAAAAAGACAACTTGTAACCTAGTTATAAACCCAAAAATTGCTGTCCAGAGGGAACAGCAGCAACCAAGTAAACTTCAAAGTAATTTCTCTTTCATGCTACAAGCACCTGGTTTTAGGAGATTGTGGCGTTTTTGCAGATCAAGGGAAGGTGGGGGAGGAGATAAGAGAAAAAAAATGAAGAAACCCTTACCCCAGAGCTGCAACTTTTCTGTTCTTCTCTACAGCAGCCAGGCCGTTCAAGGCAGCAGCTCCCAGCTCAGAGTCTGACCCCTCACAGGGCGTCTCCTCCTGCTTGGGCAGCGCCTCGGGGCCAGCCAGGGCGCGAGCGTGGGGCCGAGCACTCAGCTTGGAGTTCCCCAGGCCTCCTGGGCAGGGAGAGCACAAACGAGACCCTTGTGACCCTCCCTCCTCCTCTGAATGCTGCAGAGGAGCAAAACACCAGTTTCTGTGTCAGGGGTTTCCTTGTGCTTGTGCTGAAGGAAGGGCATCGTGCAGCTCAGGAGCAGCACCGCCATAAAATCCTTACTGGGGTTTCCCTGAGTTCCCTCTAAGCCAAATCACAATTTAAACCTGGCTCAGTGCTGTTCAATCCTGGACTTTCACTGCCAAGTTCACTCCTCAGGTATTTGCTGAGAGACCAGAACATAACACACATATTTATGCTCTGCTCAGTGAATGTGAGGTGCTGCCCCCAGCTCAGCTACCAGAGGTACAGCA